ATATTATATTATTTTATTTAAAAAAATTATACTCTCTTTACTCTTGTGAGAATTAAGAAAAGTCAATAATCTCTATATACGGGGTATCATGTAATACTGCAAGATATTGGATTGATTAATAATTTCATGTTTTTTTAAAGGTTGTTAAGTATTGTTATTTTTAATCTATTAAATTAAAAATAAATCTATCTATTTAATCAGTTATATACCTATTATTTTATTTCATTACCTTCTCTAACTATATTGAATGTCACATGTGTTATTCCTCTAAAATTTTTTTCCTTCATATTAAAAGATTTTTCATAAAAGCAACTTTTGAAACTTGAATATGATTAAAAATTAGCAAAAAGACATTAGTAAAAAGATCAATTCTATTAATTGGATATATATTAAAGTATTACCATTACCTGAAATTTAAGTGAGTACATTAAAGTTGACTAATTAAGTTAAATTAAGATCATTGACTATTAGAACATTTATTATTTTGTACACATATAAGAGGTCATTCATTGGTCCTGAAAGGTATATGAAAAGTCAAGAGTGATATACAGTTCTAATATGTTTTGGGTATAGGTTGTCATATTTTATAAACAGTGAATTTAAACATCCTACACTATATACTTCTAACTACACACTTCTAAAAAGATATATGTTTTTTCATGTAGGGTAATCATATCATGTCAATTCTCTTACCAATTTATAAAGTAAATATCATAGGCATTGAGAAGCAAGGAAAAATGATTGAAAAGTCTAAAATCTAAATCAATTAGAATTATACTATAGTTTTTTAATTAGTTTAAATAAACAAGTTATTTATTTATTTCTTATAACACTTCTTTTACTTGGAAATGAGTTATTTAAATGAAGTTAAAAATAAAGGAAATGAGTTAAAAACAAAATAAACATTTTTTAATAATTTTTTAATATTTTACATAAGAGATTAAAGAAAGATTCGAAACATATAACTGATAAAAAACAAATAAACTTTTATTATAGTTATTAATATGTTTGACAGTTTAATAATGGATATTATTCTGTACAAATAAGGTTACTGAACCCATAAATATACAAATAAATTTTTTATTTTATTTCGATATGAAATAGAAAAGAATACAATAAAGTAACTAAACTTATTAAATAAATAAATAAATATATATATATATTTATAAGTAATATCGTTTATTGGAATATTGTAATATTGTCAATATTTTAAACACTCTGAATTATTAAATAAGAATATAACATTAGCTATACAGTGGAATAATAATTAATGTAAAATAAATGAAAACAAGATGAAAGTTTAAAAAGTATTATTGATCATTTCAAGATGCAGTAGTGTATTTACACGTGTCACAAAGTTAGGTATCATAACCTTAAACTGTCAAATTTCTAATACATTATAGAATACCTGCAGAGTAACAAAATGATAGACACAAAGGAAACAATTATAAAAAAATTTAATACGGAATTAGGAAGTGACATAAATGGACTTAATAAAATATACGAACTTCACCAATGTCTTAATGCACAAAAAGATGAAATTGAAAAATCCGTATGTATTTAAAAACATATTATTATACTCTAATTGTTCTAAAAATTTTTCATATTCTGTAATTTCTTTATGTATCTTTACAAATATAATAAAAAAAAATTTTTAATTATTAGTCTTTAAAATTTTTAGCTGTCAATGGCATCAACTGAAGCTCCTTCAAAAGTAAAAGCAGTTATAGAAAGCGTTGAAAAAATAAGTGCTGAATTTCAACAATTAGAAAATACTTCTGCAGAGTTCAGAGGTAACATACAAGAAACAATGTATGAAAATGAAAGAAGTATAAAAATGCAGAAAATTATTGATGTGATAAGTTATTTGGATAAGTCTTTATCATATTTGAATTTCTTAAAATATGTTGAAAACATTAGGTAAATTATTGTTTAAATATTTATATTTTAAAATATAACTTTTTCAATTTTAAAAAGCTATGATTGTAGTGATGAAATACAAATCTCTTTAACAAATGGTGATGATGAATCAACTATCTCATTATATACAGATCTTACAAATATTAGTTGTCAACTACGACCATCTACTTGCCATTATCTTCAAAATTATGTAAAAGAAACACTCCACTTTTGGCATAATCTCATAAAGGAGAAATTATCTAAGTACATTTTGATTTTATATGTATTTGTATACTTAATTATTAATTTATATGCACATGATAAATATACACAATGATTTTCAGAGAATATAATGATATATTAAAAACATTAAAATGGCCTTTTTGTGGTAGTAATGCAAATTCATTACATACTCCTATGCCAGAGATATTAATGAAATTTAAAATGCTTACAGAATATTTATTACATTTACAGTTACCGTATCCTTATAAAACTTTATCTTTATATTTTATTGAAATTATCTATTATATATTAAAAAATATATATATTATTGTTAACTAATTATGTATAGAGAAGAATCTGCAAAATCTGTAGTAACATCAGTATTATTAACTGATTTTACTCCTGTGAGTTTACCAATTTCATTGTTGGTACGACCACTTAGACAAAGATTTATATATCACTTCACAGGTTCCAAGTTAACAAATCGACAAGATAAACCTGAATGGTTTTTTACTCAAATATTAACTTGGATTAAAGTACATATACAGTGGGTACAAAAAAATGTGCAACCTGCTGCAAATACAATAGGTCTTAATCATGTAGATATGAAGGTAATATATAGCTTCATGCATGTTTTTATTATTTGTATATTGGTACACTTTAATACAATTTTATATACATTATCCTATTATAATAGGTAGAATTTATGCGAGCTTTAGTACAATTAGCAGTTGAGAAACTTCATTCTGAATTATCAGTAGTACTGTATGATGATGCCTTATTTGCTCATTTAGTTGATGAAGCTTTAGGCTTTGAACGAGAATTGAGAGAGACATTATTTTATCCTCCGACTCAACCAGCTACAGTTTTTGTACTTACACAAGCTCATATTTTTGTTAAGTGGATTAATATGGAAAAGAAATGTAAAATTATTATTTATTATATATTATAATATTATATAATTATAGATTTATAATTAGACAGCTACTTTTATATTTAATATCTTATTATTCAGTATAAAATATCAAATTAATTTTTTATGAAATTAATTTTATTCATTTTATTCATGTTAACATATTAAATTATTAGATGCAACTGAAAAAATGGATGCCATTTTGAGCTCAAATACAGCATGGGAAAAATTATCGAGTTCTGATATTGATGATATGAAAGTAACTGAATGTGCAGATGCATTTCTAACACTACTTACCACAATTTGTGATAGGTACAAACATTTACCTCAACCAGGACATAGGTAAATAAATAAATATATATAACTTTCATATTTTAAGATAAATTATGTTATATATCATTATTCATTAAAAATAATTTACTTTTACAAAATGAAAGTAAAAACTTGTGATAGTAAACATATATACTAGAAAATATACATTTCTAAGTGTATATCAATATGATAATTCACAAAGAAGATATATACAGCAAAAATAATTACTAATAGTCTGTTTATAAATTTCATAAATTGTAAATCTAATTATATTAAATGAATAACAGGTTACAGTTTCTTGAGTTACAATTAGAATTAATTGATGATTGGAGAGTAAGATTACTTCAGTTATTACATGAAAATTATGAAGATCCTTTAACATCCCTTATGCCATATATTCTTAATACATTACATTATGTTGCAACCATTCTAGAAGAGTGGGGTGTAACAGTAGTAAGTATTATAGATATTCAACTTCTATACTTCTATACTTTATATTCTTAATATATTATTTGATTTATTATTTCTAGCATTTCTTGCAATTGTATTTTTTCAAAAAACAATTTGAAGCAGTTGAAACTGCTACATTGAAAGGAAATGATATTACTGGAAATGTGGGAGAAATTGAGGGTTCCGTATTTGATGAAGCTGTTGCTCTCTTAAGAAGATTAGAGAAGGAATTAATAAATGAAATTAGTGATTCTGTAGCTTTGGATGTAAAGGCAAAAAGCAGGCCGTATAGAACAGATAAGTAAGAATATTCAGCATCAAATTTAAATATATGTAAAGGAAATAATTTAATATTTAGGTATGACGTAAAAACAATTCATTTTATGTAAAATGATGTTGAAGACAATTTATTTAAAGCAGTGATATATTGAATGCAAAATTAAATATAATCTAATAAAACAGGATCAATTTTTTAAAAGTAAAAATCCTTGTGAATGTAAAATTAATTTAAATCGTTTCTACAGATGGTTTGCAATGCAATCTACCAAAGAAGTGGTTTCATTATCTGTTACCCCAAGTGGTTATTCTATGTTTCAAGAATTAGCGACACAACTTAATTTATTGCATAATACGCTTGCTTTACCACTATTTCAACAAGCTTGGAAAAATTTAGCTTCACAATTCGATCAAGTTAGATTTAATTTAAATAATTATTTTATATATTATCTGATACTATGTTAAATATGTATATAAACAAATATTTCTTATTGCAGTTTCTTTTAGAGGAAGTTGTTTTAGTAAATCATTTTAATACGGGTGGAGCTGAACAATTACAGTATGATATTTTCAGAAATCTATTTCCATTATTTGGCTTATATATTAGTAAACCAGAATCATATTTTCCCTTGTAAGTAACAAATCATTAATATGTTTTCTAAAGGTATATGAAACATTCAATGTGCAAATTTCTTATTTATTAAGTTGAGTAAATGCGATAAATTATTATCTTATTACATTATTTTCACTACATTTTGACTATATAAAGACAAAGAAATATTTTATTTATAAATGTTATGTACAAATAATCTTTATGATTATTTTTGTAATGTCAAAGTTCGTAATTTGTCTGAAATTACATTACGATTTTTTTTTTAATATTACACTGTAATGTTCATTGACTCATATTTTTCGAAAACTGAATGTGATAAAACAATTTCGTTTGTGGATTCGTATTCAGAAAGCTAAACTACAAGAATTACCCAATAGATATTACAGATTTAAGAAAAAATTAAAATTTGTTGGACAGTGTTGTTAGAAATAGAAAAATACAAATATACAATAGAATAGAAATTATAAAATAATTACTTTCAAAATCAAATTATGAAACTGTACAGTATGTACATATATCTGTTTACAATTTTACAGAGGTTCTCCAATATTTATTAGCATAAGAAATTTGTATGTTTTGTTTCATAATGTTATGACATTTAATACTTATGATAAATTTAATATCCTGTTCATTTAATTGTTTCAATTATTTTTTAGAATTAAAGAAGCATGTATTTTATTAAATATCATGGCAGGATCAGCTATGTTACTTGTTGAAGCTCTCAATGATAGTGATGAAGTTATGGGAAATGAAATACTAGCAGATATTGGTGTTTATAAAATGTCCCCTGAACTTGCTTTAAAAGTCATTGGAACAAGAACAAATATAACCTATGCATAAAATATTTTTATCATATTATTGCATAAATTAAATTTCGTATTTAATTTTATGTATAATGTACTATTGTTAAGATATAGACAAATATTAATACTGTAAGTAAAATTGTAAAATTGTATATTTAAATTTATTTATATACGTATAATTAAAAATCGTAATCATATATAATACTTAACAAATTAATGTTATTCCGCCATTATCTGCACCTAATAACAATAATCTATTAAGGGGAAGAACCGCCATTGTGGTAAGGAGACCTTTGAATGTATCAGATTTTAATTTTGATGATGAAAATGAGGCTGTTGCTTCTATAGATGTGTAAACTCCCACCCGATTTGCTGTTGTTCCTATTATTAATTCTTGTTCATACGTAGTCATGCAATGGACTGGTTCTGTAGAACCTCTAAAAATGGAAAATATTAAATTTATTTTTATGACTTAAATAGATTTCAGTCCAAAACAAAAATTTTAAATAGTTGTAATAATAATTAGAAAAATTGTGAGTAAAAATACATATAAATTTTATACAAAAAAGATATGACATAAAAATGTCAATAACCTTAAAATATAGAGAACAAATGTACATATTGTATTTATTATAAAATATGTCTGTTTAAACTGATTAAGAGAATCATGCTATATTTTCTTGTATGTGTATAGAAGTTATTGAATTTATTATGTTTCATTAATTTTATTAATAAAATATAATATTATATCTTACTTCATATGAAATTTTAATTTCCCATCTAGTGCACTCCATACAGCAATGGTCTCATCTAATGAAGAACTAATTAATGTTGTTTCATTAATCGCTTCTAATTGTAAGATCTAAAAAACCAAGTGTGATAAGTACATTTATATTAAATAGTTTTATGATAATTTTTTAAAGTAAAACGTACTTCACATTCATGACCTTTCCAAGACGCAATAATAAGACCAGTACGAATATCTAAAATTGTTAAAAATCCTGATGCTTGACCCAATGCTACCCAATAACCACTAGGTGCTACTGCAATACATCGAATTAAACCTGTTGGATTTACAGATACCTAAAAGACGAGAAATCATTATTTTATGAAATACTCTATAATGATGTAGCTAAGATGATAATACTTACCTTCATTTCATTTACATATTGAAATGTTCTACAATCAATAACTCTCAGTGTAATATCAGTTGTACCTACAAGTAAAGTTGTAGATGGAGGAGGACTTGCGGCCAGTGTATTTACAGGGATTGGACGTGAGCTTTCTGGAGAACCAAGAAGAGAACCCATAAAAGGATCCCAACAATGAATGGAACCATCACAAGTAACTACATATCTTAAAGATTCTAGGAATGTTAACGCAAGAATTGACTTCTTATGTCCAGTATAAGTATACTGACAAGATGAAACAGTATTTCCATCTCCCTATTGATAAAATATGTATTTTAAACATAAATTCTTTATATGTACACGTAGCATACCTCTAAATCTAGTAATTTAAATCTATTATGCCAAAAGAAATAAAAATTTTATTGTTTTATGTACATGGATTGTATATAAATTAATATAATTTTATTATTTTAATTTCTTTTTTCTATTTTTTTATTTCTTTTACCATAAAAAATATATGATATATAAATAGCAATAATATACTAACTTATATAACTTTATATATAGCATTACCTGACTTCTTAAGCTCCATAATTTCACAGTTTTATCTCTTCCCCCACTCATAAAACTGTTTTCATTGTCTAACACATATAAACATCTAACACTATTAGTATGACCACTAAAAGTTTGCAATTTTATTTGTTTTATATTAAATGCTGTATCTTTCTCTGATCTTCCAATTTCATGTTCCCAATATGCTAACCAATTTCCTCGTAATTGTCTTCCAGTTGATGAACAACTAGCTTCTCGATTAGATATTATGTTTTCTGAAGTAACATAATCACTAACATCATTCTTTTGTACTGCAAATCTATTTCCCACAACTGATATATTTTCATAATTAATTACATCTTTATTTGTTAATTCTGTACTTTCTGCTACATTGTAATTGTTGTATGGTATGTTATACTTGCTATCATCTTTAAAATAATCAAAAAGAATACATTAAATCAATTTCACATCTTACATAAAAAATGTATAAAAATATCTAAGAAAGAAATGTAACAAAATTGAAAGAAATATAATGTAGAACATACCAGCATTGAAATTCATTTTTGCTTCTTGTTCATATTTACGACATAAATTATTTATATGTTCACGATTTTTAAGTATTTGTTCCATTACTTCACTATCAATACATTTATAAAAAAGCATATATGTTTTGTGAGCAAATTCTGCTGTAAACACAGCTTTTAGTTCCTCAAGTGCCTGAATACATATATAAATATATAAATATAAATATACATACACAAATATTGGAAATGTAGTAAATGTATATGCAATTATTGAATAATTAAAAATTTACAAATTATATCCTAATTTACCTTATTTTCCTGGCAATCAGATGCATTCATGTTCTCTATAACTGGTGGAGAATAAGAATCAGCAATATCTGCATTAAAATTTGTTTGTAGTCCAAGGCTATCTCTATTATCTTCATTTAAAACTTTCACCCTATATGAATACATATATATGTAGTATATTATTACTACAATGCATTACTACATACAATTATTATCAAAGCATGTGTTTTATTACTTAATATTAACGTAATATCTAAATTAAAGTAAAATAACGTTATATGAAACATCAATTAATATACCTTGTAAAGTGTTCACTTATTGTTTTTTGGGTAATTTCGTTCTTAATATTTTCTGAAACATCTTGATTAAATGATTTATCAAACGCTAAGAAAAATCGTTGAATAGGCACAGCCAAATGATTTTTTGTAATAACACTACCCAATCGTAAACTAAACATAAATAAAGTTTCTAAACATTTTTCTGCCATTATAGAACGTGCAACTGTACCATTGGGAAAAGTAAATCTCGTGGATGATAATATACGAACTGTAGGATATAGTATTGCTTTTACAATTGATTCCTGTAATGAAAAATAAACTTCCTATCATATATATATACTGTTCATCCTTGAAATATTAATGTGACATAATCATACATGAAGTACATCCATCAGAACTGCATCACTGAGATATGGTGTAATACGGTTTAAAAGAGTCAAACACGAAATAAGTCCTCCTTCCAAATTTTGTGTTAATTTTCTTTTACAAAGTGCTAAAAGTTCTACCATGTGTGCGAAATACTGCAACACTATAATCTGTTCTCCATATAGCCCTGTGCAAGTGTTTAATTTATTTTCGTTTTTAAAAATAAAAGTTAATAATTATATATATTTCTTATATAGATAAATTAACCTGCAATAGCTGCAAGACATTCCAAAACATTGTTAGCATTATGATCACCAACCAAAATCTTTTTATTCCATGGAATACCTTCCATAGATAAAAGAGTATCTTTGGTTATTGTTAAGTTTTCTTTCCCAGTATAACATAATGTAAGCATTCTTAATAAATTTCGAGACAAATATCGAGCAGTAAGCACAGGTCCAAGTCTATGAGATAACCAGATGATAGATTCTGCACTCATTTCAGAAGTTGTGCACTCATTTGATGTAGTTTTTTGATAAATATGATCTATTTGAATATCTTCATGTACTACAACATTAGATCTGTTATCATTTGTTTGTAATATTATAGAACTTTGTTCTTCAATTCCTACAATAGATATTTCCTCAGAAGTATTAGTAGAGTGGCTAAATCCACCATAAGTAAATTCATCATTAGAAGTCTTACTTCCAACATGACAACCAATGTTACTAAACTCTGTTAGAGATTTATTAGAAGAATTGGATGTTTTTGGTATAGGAATTGTAGGTGATTTGATTGACTTTAGTGGGGAAAGTTTATTTCCTTCTTCATTTAAATCATCATTAAGGTTTAAATTCAGATCAATATTTAAATCAATATCATATGTTGCACCAGTATTTAATGATATCCATGAATTTTCATCTGCTTCCATTGTAAATACTTCTAAGATAGGAAGAGTATTTAAAAACTTTTATATAATTTCTATAATATCATAACTTTTGGAATATAGATTAAAATTTAATTACTTACCCTCAACATCATTGTTAGTCGAATTTATATCACGTGTATAATCACTGGCTATAGGTGCAGTCGATAAAGAAATATTCTGCTCTGAATCCGCAGAAAAATCCTCGTCTAAAGGAGACAAAATTCCTTCTCCTTCATTACACATCCCACTTAAATCACAACTTCTATAAAACAGAAAATAAATTAAATATAAAAAATTGCTTACAGTGGTAAATACGAATATTACGTAGATTTATATTTATTACTTCTGAATATAATTATTTTTTAAGAATAATTATTTCTGAAAAATATAATTTTAACAAATACATTGTAAATTGAATCAATTGAAACAAAAAATTATAAAGCAGTGTGTGCATTATTTTACATTATTCTTGTGATTAGCTTCTCTCAGTTATTTGAATTTTACAAAATCAAATTTGTTATACAATAAAATAATCATTAATATAATGAATATGAATATAATACATTTTTTATTACTATTTTATAATTTCTAGAAATGAGCTTAATTTTAAATCCTTAGAATAATTATATTTAGAATAATAAATAAACATTATAAAAACATTATAAATGAACACATCATTTTTGCTAGAACTATTTCATTTTAATATAGTTATGTATTTAAATACTTTGTAAAATTTTTCTTACTTAAGATTGCCTGTTTTATAAGTATATGTTGAAGATCCTTGTATGTAATCCCTATATCCTCCAACTGCTTCCACAAGAGGAGTAATAAAATTTTCCAAAAATCGCCGTAAACCCAATCTTACCATAAGCTTCAATAAGAAATTTCTATGATACAAGCGTGTGGTTTTAAATTTTGCTACTAATGCTAAAGGAAGTACATCAGCATGTGGAAAATTATCCATGAAAGAACCATTTTCATATAATTTCATAATGGATAAAAGGAATGTTTGTGCTGTATCTTTAGGGCCCAATGCTCTGGAAAAATATCAATTATTTAATATTTAAAAAACTGATAAAATTGTAAATTAAAAAAGCATTATAAATTTTACAAATACCAAATACACTAAAGAAAATTATCTAACTTAAATTTTTATAACTTTTAACGTACTTGGCAATAGGATCAAATAAATGCCAAGCAGTTAATACAGCACTATAAGGTTCTTCCATTATTTGTTGTATATGAGGCACTATCAATTCTAAACATGCCTCTCTTGCAATTCCAGTATGGAATAATAAGTGTTCCAATTCCCTTGCAATTGCTTTAACTTTACACTCACTAATTTTACAAAGGAATTTTGTTTTTGTTTTAAATATAAAATCCATGTCATCTTCAGATTTCATTATAAAATTTAATTCACGAACTAAACTATTATATTCTTGTAACATTTCTACAATATTAAATAAATATTTATAATACTTGGAAAATGGAAATAAACTTCCAGAAAGTATTGGTTGTAAAAACTGATGAGCAGATGGTGGAGGTAGACCCATATGTGTAATAGTTGGATACCGAAAAGGTGTATCAGTCACCTGAAAAATTACAATACTATATACTTCTATTATGTGATACAACTATGTTTACTTTAGTTAAGAATTAAAAATTTTTAAATTGTTACAAATATTAAAATGATATGTTTATATATCTAGTTAAAATATTAAAAAATTCTAAATTATAAAAGAAGTTTTCTATATTACTTTAACAAATGAATAATAATATTGAAAGTATATGCTGTGAACATTATGTATAACTTTAACTCTTAAACTTTAAAATTTTTTTTTAGTCATTCTTTGAATATCTTATTAAAAAATTAAGCAATTGTTAACTATATAATCAATAATTAATAGAATTTTATAATGAATATAAAATAATTACTTAATAATTACTTAAAGTAGTACTTACTTCTATGTTATCAATATTATAACTATTTGGTATAATATCAATTTGAAGTAACAAGGCAACAGCATTTCTTACACATTTAGGTAAACTATCAGCTGATGTCTTCAATATATTTAAGCAAGTAGCAAGCCTTTTTGCAAATGATACCTTTTCGATATTCCACGTAGACCGAAATTTATTAGATAAAAATATTTCCACAATTAAACAACCAAGAATTTGTTGTTCTTTAATGCGCCCACTAGCCACAATTTGTTTGTAATTTATGAATGGCTCATGTAATTCAATTTGTGGTTTATAAACTTGAGAGCTTACTTTATTTATAAATGCATGCATAGTTTCCACATGCACAATAGCTGTAACAGGATTATAATCTTTTGGAAGAATTATTGTCTGATTTATAGATTTATCTTGTTTAGCATTATCTTCAGTATTAAGTAAAGAACCTCGAGAACGACTTAGTAATCGACTTAAAACTAAAGGAGATGACCTTGATGTATTAAATATTGATGTTGGTAGTTCTTCTTCTTCAAACCCAGAACTATGACCTTCATCATCACTAGTTCTATTTCCCGATTGATCATTTTCTGTAATAAATTATTTAATTAGTATTAAATAAGTGTAAACTTGTTTTAACAAATTGAAAACTTTACAATAAACGTACTATACTTATTTATTAAAAAAGATGAGCGTAATCTGGGTGGAATTTTACACCAATAAGGTGAAGGAATAATTTTTTGTGGATGTGGTTGTGTAAAAAGTTGAACAATACCAGAATTAGTTAAAGTAGTGTGATTGTCAACAATATCCAGTGATGTAATCTTTCAGAAACATGAAAACTTTCTAAGGCTTCCCTGTGTCTTTCAATAAAATCTTCTGGAGATGTAGCCCATCCAGGAATTTCTAAATCTGGTAAATCTTCATGAATAGACTACAATTTATAAATAGTTATATGTATATTATAATTTATTGTATGTATTGCATAAACAATTAAATTTATTATTTTTATTTTACCTTAAAAACATTGGGGTCAGCGAAAAATTGTGGTATACATTCATCTGGACTCCAATCATGTAATCTTTGTATGGAAGCAGGATACTCGCCTGGCACCCATTGTGGTCGCACATATTTACAAAGGACGGATTTATTGTAACGACGAGAAAGATACACATAATACGTAATTTCTGACAGTACATCTGATACATGATGTCCTACCTGTAAGTATTACGAAAATAATATTTAACTAAATAACTATTATAGCACAAAATTTAATTAATAAATATTGTTGAATACATACTTCAGTGGATTGTGAATCAAATGTTAAATCTAATTGTCTATCACCCTTGTTTAATCGAAACTTGGATTTTGTCAAATCTCTCCAATTACCACCACATCTTGATGTAAAATCTGTGACCCAAGGCATTACATGATGACAACTTGGATCACCATATCTTCTACCAGCCAAATTGTTTAATGCAGTTAAATAATCATAATTACTAATACAATTATACACCCACATTTCACACAATTTTTCAATATTTTCATTCATTCCAAATTTAGATTTTTTTTGCAATGTAGAATTTAATGAAATTACATCAAAATTTTTTTTACATCCATTGAAATTTTTTGCTTTCATTTCTTGACTAGTGGAACCTTTGGAATGTTCATTTTCAGGCTTTATGTATATATTATCACTTACTTTTGGTAATACCTAACAATAAAATCTGGGAAAGTAGTTATAATTTCAATAGAAAACGGAATAAGTAGAAAATATTTATAAAAAAGAACATGTAGATATTAACCTGAATAGTAAAATTATCCATAAGCAATATATCACTAAGGGTAATTTCACCTAATACTAAACCTCGATCATGCAAGTCTCTAGATAGTTGTAATAACTGATATATTAGAAATAATGGCTTCCCATGACTCATACTTAGAGCAGCAGGGCTGTACATTACACACCTTCAACAACAATAAATATTTAACTAATTACAAAATTAAGAATAAATTGCAATTGAGATATATTTATAATATATACTTACTCACGCAGAGAATATTCTGCAGTTTGCTCATGTAATGTAAGAAAAGCAGATGTAGTTTCAATAGCAAACAATATTGGAAGAAGATTACAATGTACTTCATTTGATATAGCAGGCAATATAGATACCACTGATCCATTTTGTATTTGTACTAAAGTGCAACCATACATTTTTTGTAATACTTCTTGCATAATCCATATATCACTTACATTAGCATTTATATTATATTGTTCTTTATGTTCTATACAATTCCATGGACCTATATGTGTAAATTAGTAAACATATATATGTACATATAAAAGGGAAAAATGTGTTAACTGATTTTTTCAACTAATAACTAAAGAATATTATATTACATTTAATTAAAAATACATACTGTAATATTTTTTATAACATTCTTTCCATAAATTTCGGTAATTAGTTTCTGCAACATAATGCATTAATTGTGAATATGTCAGATCTGCATGAGTATTTCCATTTATATGTCTTCCTCTTGGAAGTGGAACAGCATACTTATGCTGTTTTTTATACACCTGAAAATTATAATAATTATAACTATCAATTATACCTAAAAGATAATATTAATTATAGTTAATAATACTGTCATTTACATATGATTTATTAACATATATACAATATACAAAATTGTATAACAATTCTTAAAAATAAAAAAAATGCACAAGTAATGATCCAAGATAACTAAAAAAATATTTAAAATAAATTAAAAAGAGTTAGTTTTTGTTCATTCTTATTTGAATTATTTTAAAAAGTAATAAACAATCTAATAAAATATAATGAATATATCTTATTTTTAGTACATTATTATTACAGAATATAATTCTAATATATTTCAAAGAAAATTCATATAGATTTATGCATTATTTATACATTTATTAAGTTCAAAATATAATTCTGTTAAAAAATATTAACAACTTTTATTTAAAAAATAAATAACTTTTATTACTAAATACTGCTTCATAACATTTGCTTTATTTTTTCATAATGATAATTATTTTTAGTTCAAATTCAAATTGTAAATTTTTAAAAACTATTAGTTGAAATTTAAAACATATTTTATTTTGTATCTTAATCTGCTATTACATTTGAACAAAAAATATAATATGTAATTGATAAGACAAATATTTTCTTAATTATTCCTTCATACTTTTTTTATGAAATAAAAATATTATCGATAAGTACCATAAAATATAAGTTTCTATAAAAAATATTTTAAAAATATATAGAATGACACAGTTAAGTAAATGATATGTACATTGTATATATAATATAATTATATTAAAATATTCCTTTGAATTAATAAGAATTAACATACCCTAACAAATATTCTTATCCAATCTGGACCCAGATCTTCAAGCATAGGATGAGCTGCAATTTCATCTTCATTTAATCGCTCATGATAAATAAATGAAATTGGTCCTGTGTTAAGTAAATTGCTCAGCCAATTTTTGTGAACAGTTAAACTAATTCTATTATCTATAACTTTTGTATATTTTATTGGTACAAATAGCTCTTTTGTTATTATGTCCATTTCTTATTCTTATGGTTTGTATCTATAAAGAAAATTTTTTGACATATATCTTTGTTGCATCTTAAAATAGGAAATAATCTATTGTTAATATTTTATTATAGTAAATTCGTACCGTACTTGGATTATAAAAGATCAAAAGAGAGCACACTGAGTATTTATTTCGTGTGTTTATTATGCTAGTTGTTTAATGCCAAAGACAGCTGATTAGTAGCAATTGAACAGCTGATACTAGACGCCATATTTGGATATGATTTTGTATACATAATGATAAAAATATATTTAAAAATAATTTTCTATACAATATAATTCAATTAATACGATATTTTTTAAACATTTTAATATGTTAATTGTTTATTACTTCTTTTAAAGCATAAGATAACCTACAATTTTTATATAAAATAATGTTTCTGTAGTGGTATATATAATGTCGGTATATACTCAATCTATTGTAAGCTTTAAGTGATTTATGTGGTAATAGAAATTAATGATTGTGATAATGGAGAAAAGATTGATTAACATAAAGTAAAAGGTAAAACTTTACTTTCTTGAACTAAAAATTATTAAGATATTTTTTCATATCTAATTGATTTTGACATGTAGATTTCAAAAATCACGGTTTTAATGTTAGCAATGCACGGGATCGGGTGTCATGCGTGTTTAAAAATTGCTTATTTTACAGGTTACATTGTCATGTAGACTTTTTCCTCTCATCCAATAAAATGAGTTTGCGCCTTTTATAAATGTGGTGGGTAAGGTGATTTTCATCTATATGTACAGTTGGTTACATTAAAAATCAACCACTTCCTTCGCTAATTTATTTTTATATGTAAATAACAATATATTACATTAATACTACTGTAAATAGTATAATAATATTGTACCTATAGTAGTACCTCTTTCAATATGAAAATTAATATAACACTTTATTAAACATTACTTAAAAAATAGAATGCATGGTGGATCTGTGAAAGTTACCTTACATTAAAAATCGTTCAAGTACAAAACGCTGGGATTTGCCGAATTAAACTGTTTTTAACAGTTACACATTTTTAGGCGTTAAGTTAAGCTAAATATATCATAAATGTAGAATTTTTAAGCTGTTGAAATGAAATGGAAAGCCGAAAAAAACAAACCTCCGTAGTAGAGCGTAAGTTAGTCACTTTTCATTATATTCATGGTAAATCTCCGAGGGGAATTTCAAAAATGTTAAACAGAAGTCCCAGTACGATAAGGTGTATTATTGAGAGATGTAATGAAAATAACTGTATTTAAAATAAAATAAAATAAAGCACGAAAAAATCTTGAGCGGTCAAGACGAACATTACGTTCTTTAACAAATTAAAAAAGATCCTATGAAAAGTGTCCGAAAACTTGTGGATGTTGAAAAATATCGAAATAAAAAAGTCCATCCTGAAACTATTAGGAGAATTTTACGTAAAAATAATTTTCCTGACGGAGTAGCAGACAAGAAACCATTCCTTAGTGCGAAAAATAAAACTAAAAGATTGGAATTCGCTAGAGAATACATAAGTAAAAATTTTTCTTTCTAAAAAAACATGCTTTTCACAGATAAAAGCAAATTTACTGTACACGATTCGGGTAGAAAAAACAGTAGTGTAGAAAAAAGCTAATAAGCATTTGAAATCTTAAACTAACGTTCAAGCATGGTGACGATGGTTACATGGTTAGTTACATGGTTAGTGGTAACTATGGTAATCATGATTACGTCCCGAAAATTTTAAAAATTTCCTGTGTATGTTTAAATTGGTGCAACTAGTGCGTGTTTTCCATCCGAGTGCCCCCTTCGGCTCGTGAAGAGCTCTATTGCTTAAACAAAATAATTTGTGGACTCAATCCGATTTACGTGCAACCTTTGCCGCTCGAGGTTGTTACGGTGTAGTAAACGCTTTGTGTAGCGTGGCTTAGAGAGAGTTTATTGGGTGTTGGATCAAAGCTGATGTAGTAATAAACAGTATTTATTGTTCGGAAATAAATAAGTCAATTAAACTAGACAAGACTACTATTAGGCTGAAACGGAACTGAACTGTGACGGAAGGTCTTAGTAGAAAAAGACGCATGGCGCAAGAATTTGTTTGCACAGACAGTGCTGCCGCACCTCGACTGGTATAGTAAAGCTTGCTATGCTCTGTGAGCTGGACAAGGGTGCCACAATATCATTATCGGTTAAGGATGTGTAGTAGAATTGGGAGTAGTACTGGAGTACTTACATTTTATACATTTTATACAGGGTAATACGGGCAGATGGCAATATTTAAACATTTTACAAGATAATTTAAAGTAAATTGCAGAGAAATTGGATATTGAGGATACATTTTACATTTATTAAAATAACGACCAGCGATTATTATTTATTTTCTTTTCAATATAAGTAAACGGACGATTTATATTATGAGATTACTTTCATGTATATATTCAAACTGACGATAATTTTATTTTTTTGTAAAAATGTGCATCTTTTTTTAATTCATGCTATGTAATAATAAATATAAATTATAACCTATTAAGTTTAATCATGTTTTATACGTATATGTAGTAATATTTAAAAAAATTAATGGTTAATGAGTAGTGGACAAGTTTCAATGTAACCGACTATATTCAGAGAGTCCCAGCAACGGTACTACAGCCGAGAAGAGAGTGGTTCTACACAAATCGAACAAAAAGAATAAAATTTTTTAATTGAAAGCTTCGTTTTCGAGAAAATATACTTTAAATATTCACTGCGCATGCATTTAATGTGTTGATCGAGTATAGCGTGGCGGGAACGATCACCTGGATGCGAGGACACAAGTTGCCGCGATATAAATACAATCTGTACATTGTTCGTCATATAGCATTTTCAACAACTTTTGAATTAATAAAGTAATATATTAGTAACTAAATTATACATCTTATTTTCATTTAAAGCCATTTGAAATCTATAGGCATAGATAGATACCGTAGTACATGTTAATATTAAGAATATTAGCGCTATTTATAAATGACATAATTTGTAATGAAACCCGTATTTGCCTTACCAAAAATTGAATGGTTCTTGACGTGCTAAATAAAATGCTCAACAAAAAATATTCAATTAAAAAAAAAAAATGAATTGTTAATGTTTATTTTAAAAGATACAGCGACTATTTCTATAGCAAAAGAAATTTCATTTTTTATTCCAACAATAACGGTGTGTATATGACGAATAGTGTAATTAATAATTACATATAATAATAATACTACGTATAACGTATAATAATAATAAAGATTACATTTTTATATCGGCCACTTGTGTTCTCGCATCTTACCTAGCCACTCGCGTTCGCTGTGCGTAGGTGTACACATTAAATGCATGAGCACTCAGTCAATATTCAAAGTCGGTTTTCTCAAAATCGAAGCTTTTAATAAAAAAATTGTATTTGTTTTTTTATTTGTTCGATCATGTAGAATAACCCCCTGCTCGATCCTACCGTTGCTAGGGCACCCTATATATCCATACATGTGCATTTTCTTTCTGTTTAAAAGGTTGGCAACCAAAGAAAAATTAGTTCAACTTAAATTTATTTACGTAAGTACCTTATCATTACGTGTTTTATATAAAGACATATTGTTTTTTTATAGCATCTAGTATTGACACTATTAAATTAACCTTATGATGATGACAAGAAATCAAATTTTTTTTTGTGAACAAAAGTAATAATGAAACAAAGTTATGAATATATAGTTTGTTTTTACTTTGCATTCGTATTTGTATTAGTTACGGCCATAAGACGAACTTTTTTGATTGGATGAACAGTGAGGAGAAACAACATCAATCAATGTAACTTGCAAAATAAGGCACTTCTAAATACGCATAATATTGGATTCCATACGTGCTAACATTAAGACCGTGACTTTTGGAATCTACATGTCAAAATCTAGTAGATCATATAAAAATACATTAATAATTTTTAGTTTAGGAAAGTAAAGTGTAATTAAACACATTTTAAAATATTTTATTTTAATTATGAGCCATTTAATCTTATGGGTGAAAGTATAATTTTTAGAATATCATAATACGTGTAAAAGAATATTTATACATTTGAAAATAATATTATTCTTTTATATTAATTTGAGCTTTTATTCTACCTTTTCTGATATAATTTTTCATAGATTTGATTAATTACTTGTAACATATTTTTATGGATATTGTATAAATTTTATATGCACATATTGTTTTAAAATTATTCTAGGAAAAAGAATTTAACTAATTTGTAAAATTGTATTTAATATTTATTAATTTCTTTATGTATTTTTAGATTCTTAAATTCTTAGAACTATATTATTATAATAAAATTTTTAACATTTATTGTCATATATAAAAATATATTATATCAATTAAAAAATAACGAATTACACATTAAATGCTATTATATATACTTAATGCTATGAAAAAATTTCCAAATGTATCTTTATGCATATTTTATTTAAATTCTTTTGTGAATAATTAAAATAGTAACTTAGTCTATATTTATTTCTACTTCTAATCTATATTTATTTCTACTTTACTTTTCTGTACTATATTTTTATAGAAGGGAAGAAAAATAATGATTTAGAAAAATATGAAATTTTGTAAAAATAAATTAATGTAAAAAAAGATCAATTTATTTTATTATGCATCAATTATTAATTTTTGTTACATATTTTTTTTTAATAAAATTTCATGTTCATATATTTTCACAAATTCTCTATAGAAAAACATTTACTTACAGAAGAGTCATATATTGATTATCAATTAAGCTATATAATATTAATACAGGTCGTTGTTTTTCTTTCCTTGCCTCTTGCATTTTCTCACATATCTCTTTTATGTATTTCTTATGCCTTGGATGTCTAAAAAAAAAAGAAATAAATTTTTGTTATTAAAAATTTAGAAATTAATCTTGGATAAGTATTAAATATATTACTGCAACTTTTAGGCAATAAAACTAATTTAAAAATTTATTGTATTATACATTTGAAATATTTGTCAGTATAAACGAAAATAAATTTGAATAACAATAAACATTATTAATTGAATAGTGAAGTATTTTATGTATTTTATCATAAAACAACTGACAAAAACAGAAATATCACGTAATATATATAAAAACAATTTTCATATTACTTTCACTCTATAAGAAGCGTAAAATCTCTTTAAAAGAGGTAAATAAGAAGTGAACTGTAAACAAAAAAAGAGAGTCATACAAGCTATTATTATTAATCTAAGTTAAAGAAATCTTTTGTTTCCCTGAAATTATATCACCATTGGTGTTAAAATTCTTTTCTTCTTCCCCTGTAGATGTATTCATTTATAATATAGAAAGAAATTTTTTGTAATATTTTAAACTATAGAAATTTTAAACTATACACTAAAGATTTCTATATTTGAAATAATACAAAAATTAAAAAAAATTGAGTTCCAAAGTAAAGTATGCAAAAATATATACATGTACATAGAATGGAGCATTTAAATGGAAACACCTGAATATCTCTGTTATTTATAGTTCTATGAAATAGAACCAGAACAAAGTTGTATTGTTTAATGGGATATGTGTATATCAATAATATTTTTTCAAGGTCATTTTTTAACGTGTATTTAAGGGCGTTGGTATTTTTTAAATAGTTCCCCTTAATTTTTTTTTTATTTTTGTACAGTATAAAAAAGCAAATTGTAAATAATTTAAAATGTTTGATGATTTAAGAAAGCAAAATGTATTATATGAACAATTTTATTCATATTAATTTATTTGTTATTAATATCGATAATGTTATCATGTACTTTATCATTTTTAAAATTATTAATAAATATAATTTTAGAAATAAATAAGTAATTAATGGATAATATCTTACTTGTCTATGATAACTTGTATGCTTTTCAGAAATTCTGGATCCTCTTCATCAATCTCCAAGAAACTTATTATTGTTCTTATAACACTCATTTCTAAAAATACTGCGTAAATTTCAATGGGAATTTTATGAGAAATCCTTTGAAAATATGTGGACATCTGTGCAATCATAGAATTTTTTAAACTTCTTCTAGAACTACCAGAAAGTTTATCTCTTTCAGATAAAATAAAATTAATATTGACATTAACTGGATTATTATTACTTAAAAAATTATCACTTGTTGATATTTTGCTTTCAGATCTATTTAGAATTGGTATAGAATTATCTAATCTTTGAAAAAACTCTCCAACTTCTTGATTACTCATTCTTTTTTCTTGAAATCTATCACGTTCCCAACTTTGAATCCTTACACTTCCCTTTTCTCCACTTTTTAAAAAAATAACATGATTAATAGAGTTTTCTCGACAATATTCTAGGATTTCTTCAAGGGAAACTAGATCTAAAATTGTAACTTTAAGTCCAAGACTCCATAATTCCTTTAACAGATCAATCATCTCTTTATGATTGCCCATACAAGAAATGGCAATGTCAATTCCGTATTTACATTCTAAAGATTCTGAAGTTTCTGAAACGGCAGAAACAAGTTTTTCTAGCGAAATACTAATTCCAGCGCCGTATTGCTTAATTTCTTTACTAGCCATTCCTGTACGTTCAAGAATTTTTTTGAAGGAGAAAAGCATTTTATCATATCGACCTCCTGCTGCTATTACTTCTTCCCCACCTTTTTTTTTTCGTCGTTTAACTTCATAAGTAATTTGATAAATTATACCACTATGCTGATTTATATTGTGCACTAAAAGAGGTACTACCACTATTGGCCACTGAAACGTTAAAGTTTTATTATATTTTAATATAATATTAATATTTGCACCTTTATGATACAAGGTAGAATGTGTATAACAAAGGAAACTGCTTTAATCACAAACAGTTATTTAGATTAATCATTTGAAATATGATTAAGGCAGTATTTTACCTTCACACCAAGTGTTTCAATATTCTCCATAACTATCTCAATTTCTTTCAATCCTTCTCTAGCTAAAGCAGCAGCATCTCCCTTTCTTCGTGTAATTGTTTTTAAAACACTGTGAATCTTAGCAACAGTACTTTCAGTTTCAAATAAATTAAATAAAGTTTCCATAGCCTGATCAGTCAAACATAAACTTATTAAATGAGTTTGTACTTGAAATCTTGTAAATTTTCCATCACGTGCATCTCGAAGGATTGAATAAATGTCTTGGTATTTTTCTTTATCAACTCCACAATACATTAACACAGCTTGTAATAAAGAAGTATGATTTAAGCGAATGATAAAGTTTCGTTCTTGTAATGGAGGTAATTCATTAATAATTTCCCAAACAATATATATTAATTCAGCTTCCATTAAACGATTATCAGGAGTAGGACTTATTATATCGAATGCACATTCATAAAGTTCTCTCGGATGAAAACCCAAAACCTAAAATAAATGAAATATAACAATTATTAAGAAAATTTATTAATATATTAATTTTATCTTTTTTTACATTTATATACTAATTTTATATTTATCTCTTCTTAATAATGAATAACATTTTGATATCTTCCTAGAAATATAATTATTATATAATAATAATACCTATTCAATAAAATTATAATACCTTTTTTTCTCTAAAGACTCTTTCAATAGCATATCTCCTAATATGTGGTACATTATTCCACACAATGTACCTTGCAAATGCAGCACGTAAATCATGGGGAATACAAACAATATTTCCATTACGAGTCATTAATTTCACACTGGAAGTTGAAAAAGTACAGAACTGATACGATTTTGGTATCAATAACGGAGTTCCTAAATAAACACCACCATGTCTTTGAAAAACTTCGATTACTTTGCACTTTACACCTTCCTGATGTTTTCTCCAAGCAATAAAATTGGTATGACCTCTGCTAGGTAAATTCATATCGTAAGTAATATCGTCTGCTGGACTAACTTCCTGCATAAAACAGCATGAAATTAGGTATTTATATGCTTTGCTTTGATTATTTGAAAGAGTACGTCGAATCATTTCTTGCAGTTCCGTTTCTTCAAGTCGCGGAGGGGGTAGGTATTCTGAAGAAAGAAGTTCTTGAGCAGTGGGACGTTGACTGGGATCGTGGTTTAATAACCATCTGCAATAATAAAATTTATCAATTATATATTAAATAAAATATAAAAATTTATTTATTAATGTTACAAATTAATTTATTTCAATTTTTATTATATACCGTAAGATGTGAATTTGTCGGGACATATCAGCTTGTTGTATTTCTGACGGAAGTATAATTTCTTTCGATCGTAAATTAAGTAAAATTTTAATTCGTTCCATTCCTGTAGTGAGAGGTTTGTAACACATTTCAAACAATATTATTCCAAGACTATAAATATCGACTTTTTGGTTGTAAATAGCTTTGGCTGCTTTTGTTGTAAGCTCTGGAGCTACATAAAGAGCTGTGCCTACTTGGCCTGTTAAAGATCCAACATCTTCTGTGCCGAAACTAATTCCTGAAATATATCATATAAAATATAACACATGAAAACACTAATAAAACACATAAAACAATAATAAATATTCATTTATAATAGATTCTAATTTTAATTAAATTAGTTTATCAGTTTCTAAAATATGGTATCGTCTGTAAAACATTAAATACAGTATTGAATGTTATTTAAATAGTGAACAATGGTTGAAATTTTATTTCTTATTTTACTACAATTTCAGAATTCTATTTTGCGATAAATTCAATTACAAGTAAAGGATAATGAATAAGATCAATTTAAAATATTCGTTATTCAGGAAATTGATAAATAGAATTTATTTATTATTCAAAATAATTTTTATGCAATATTGTCGAAAAAACATGCGTTTGAGTTCGTATAATGTACAATAAATATCGTGGTATAACTAGAAAAAGATTTTACTTTATTTTATTTTTTTAAAATTGATTAATTTTATGAAAAAGATATATTAAATTCAAAAAGTAAAGTACTCGTATTTGAATTAATTGGGGGACATAAGTGTCCTTCAGATGATCGAATTTTCAGATATAATAGAATACATGTTTTTCTGATTTTATTTTTATATATTTCAAAACAGAAGAGCACAAGTATTGTATGCATGCAAAAATAGCAATAATAAATAATAAATTTAAATCTATTATATTATATAAATCTAATTATAAATAATAAATTTAATTAAAGATTTAAGGATCCCAAATTCTCTTAGCTATAAAAACGCACAATCTTTTTAATACATTTAATTCAATATAATTATTTACATTCCTTTTGTGTCTTATATTATCTTGGTCCTATTTTTAAAGGCTTAAATGCTTTAAAATGTTAGGTTATCATTACTTTATCATCATCATTACATTTGTGTTCTTCTTCATTATTCAGAACAGGTAAAAGACTCCTATGCTGAAGTGAATGAATACTGGTTTCTATGGTAAATTTGTCACGTACGAACTAATTTGAATTTAAATGTTTATATACAACAATTTGTATCAAATTGTATTGAATAATGGAAAATTTGAACAGAGGTGCAATTAATCGAAGTTCTACTGTATTACAAATAAATACAGTATTTTCCAAATATTTAACTTTTTTATGTAAGAATAACAACACATAACAAGTTTGAAAGTTTTTACATGAGAAGATTGCGGAACATTGTGATACATTATATTATATAATAAATTAGTTAGATTTTAGAATTTTTTTAGTGCTTACCTTTTTCTAAACCTTGAGATTCTTTATTATCGGTTTCCATTGTTTGTGCAAAAGACGAAAGTATATTTGTAGTTGCCAGACCAAAATCTCCAATTTTGACATGGTCATTACTATCCAAGAATATATTTACTGGTTTTAAATCTCTATGTATCATTCCTTGTTGATGAATATGTGCTAGACCTTCAACGATTTCTCGAAATAATCTCCACACTCGTTCTTGATCTTCATAAAGCCCACCATCAATTGCTGTTCGAAGAGTACTCTTTTCACAAAATTCCATTTGAATGTACATAAACTGAATTTCTCTAACTGTTTCTTTTGATTCATTCATATCTCCATTTTCATCGTTTTTTATATTTGAGGCAGATGGTTGATAGTTTGTATCTCTTTCAAATTCTATGCTATCAGAAGAATCCATTCTTAAAAGATTCTGCATTCTGGAAAATTTATTATATTTATTAAATATTATGTTTTGAAACATTTAGTTTTGGGATTTCTGTGTACAAAAATTTGGTAATTTATTTTATATTCTTAAACTATACTTGAATATGTAATCCTCTTCTTTTATGTTTCAATAAATTCATTTATATGATTTCTAAATATTTTAAAGAAAATATAATGAACAAGAAATTAAATAAATAAATAATTTTTGTTTTTCGGTTTTAAACATTTGGCATGTAAATAAAAGCTATTTTAAAAATAAATTATAATTTATATAATATGATTTATAAATCTTCATTTTAAAAATTAATCTCTTACAAAAACGCACAATCTTCATCACTGTCAGTATCACTCGAAGCATCACTGTTATCTTCATCACTATCAACTGTTGCATTCGTTCGAGATTTGTATGAAACATTCCATTCAACTTCGTGTAGTGGTGGTGCTAATTTTTCAATATCATCCGTTCCTAAGTGCTACAGAATAGTTATTATATAAATATAGTAGTTATATATAAATTATAACAGTTATTATATAATATGATAGTCATTAAAAGAAAGTTAAAGTATTTTTATTTGAAATAAAATCTCATATTTAATAAAAAGTGATAAACAAACAACGTAAATTTGCACTTTAAAAACTTCTACGCACTAGCAAAGATAGAAACTAATAATTTCAAGTTAGAAAAATTAAATATTAAAATAGAACATAAAATAAAATTCAGGTATGAATGAACAAAAAATTAAGTAAGAAAATAATATAGATATAACAATTACATTAAATGGATCTGGACTCTTTTTTTCGGAAAATGTCATGGACATATGTTCTTCTACTGCGTCAGTTATTATAGCACTTTCTATCCACGAATTGTAATATCGTACTACATTTTCATGATTCATCCGAGATAATAATTTTACCTCTCTGGTAATTTTTTTATTCAGTTGCTTATTTTTTGGATTCAATTCTATTCTTTTAATCGCGTAAATACCGCCATCTAATTTATTTTTTACTTTAAGTACATCACCGAAAGCACCTTTTCCAAGCCATTCAAGAATTTCGAATTCATTTGTAATTCTTGAATGACCACCTAATGGAGGAACATATTGTCGAATATCTGTATCAGGTTCTTCCGGTTCGCGATTCTCTTGTTCATCTCTTCGTGGTATTTTTGGCGGTGATAATGCATGAGCTAAAGGTGCTTTTATGAATGAGTGCTGTAACAGTTGCTCGGCGGACCAACGCTTTCGTTCATCATTGATAAGGCACTTTAATAAAAAATCTTGAAGATCAGGCTAAAATATTTAAAGAATTAAACTATTTTACAATATATAATTTATTTTTTGTATAAGAATGTTTTGTATTTTAAATAGAACATTTTTCCCCGAAATAATATTTATATATTATATAATAAAATAATATAAAAACTTTTACAAAATAACAAAATATTTGTTTATATCAACAATGTTTTTACATTATGAATAATTACTATTTTATTTTTACGTTTTGAATTTTAAATACATTAAGGTTTAGAATATATTTTACATGTATTAACAATACGTACCTGTGCAATTGCTGTTGGATCAATTTTATCTCCAGAAACTATGATACCATTTAATAAGGAAAACATAAGGACTCCAAAACGATAGATATCTGCCTTTTTTCCACCTCTGCCTTGTATACTTGGGAAATCTGGTTCAGACTTAACTATTGTACACGACTGATAAATATCAGACAATCTTTTATTTAGAGAATAATCCGATAATCTAACTATTCCTGTACTATCAATGTAGATACTGGTATCACGTAGGTCCTTGTGAACAACATTATTTTCATGTAAATATCTTAAAGCAGAGAGGATTCCAGTTGCCAGATATCGTAGAAAATCGACATTCACTGGGAGGTTCTCCAATAAAAATAAGGAACAACTAGTACCTATCTGAAATTAAATAATTAATATATAAAAACATTTTCGTTCTTTATTTTCGTATTTTAAGTATCAAAATATAAAAACAAATATATAATATTTATTTACATTCGTATTTTATATATTTGTGATATTTATATTTTATATAATAAAGAGAAATTGATCGACATGATATTTAAACTATTTCTGACAGTTTAATAAAAGAAAAATGTTTTAAACAAATATCTGTTGATATTAAATAAATAATTTATGGGTGAAAAGGAATTTGAAAAATATTTTTTCATAAAAAGTTGGTATTTTTATTTTTTAAATAGCACTATACTTTTTTATTATCATATTTTTAAATTATAAAGAAAATGACTTCAACAATGTATTATAAATATTTTTAATTGTAAATATTTAACATTATTTGACATTACAATACGGTGATTTCTTTTTTGAATTGTTATCTACGACTTCGTCACCATCATAATCATCGAATTATGCTATATAAATGTTGTTATTAGAAAACGTATACATTTGTAATCAAAAATCTAGCAATCATTGGCAGATTTTTCAAAGCGAAATGATAAAATATCTGTACATTAGGTTTTAAATATGTACGATTATTTGACTTGTTCAAGTTAATTAATAAAATTTTTTCCATAAAGTATACACAATTAGTACTTTGACTTTGTACAGTTGTACAGTAGTACAAGTTCTCAGCTTATTTAAGGAAAAATGCATTTAAAATATTATAATTGCATAACAGATGTTTAATCTGAATTGTAACTAAATATCATTATACTTACTACAAATTCTTGAAGAACATAAATAAGTACATCATCTTCCTCTTGTAAGTACTTCATATTTAAATAATGTACTAGATTTGGATGATGTAATTTATGCAAATGATTTACTTCTTGTTCTAGACTTCCTACTTGTTTCATAATATGTTGAATACTATTTTCTTCAATTTTGTTATTTACTTTCAATGTCCACTCACTAATTGCAAACAATTCTCCAGTTGTCATATCTACACCAGCATAAACAACTGATCCCTTAGTACTATGACCCATGCATTTTGCTCTGTACACTTGTCGTTCACCTATAACAATTATTTTATATTATAAAGATGAACTAAGATTTAATTATTTCTTCAGATTTTTATTAGATATGTAATTATATCTACTACAAATCTATTCAATTCATTACGTCCATCAATTCAAATTATATTCTTTAAGTAAAAGTACTAAAGCACTAAAAGTACAGTAATAATCCAATAAATCAATTAATATCTCATCATTCTCATCATTCAATTTTTGGAAATAGTTCCAGTAAACAATTGTTTTCTAAGTTTGAGCTTAAAATAAACAAAGCGTGGAATGCATAACGGATAAATTATGTCTACTTTACTGACTTATGCTTATGGTTGAGGAATTTTTAGAATTAAGTCTCATCCTGGATTCGATAACATCGAGACGAGAACTCAAAAGTTTCGATCTTAACAGAGCATTAATATGTGTATATGAATAATTAAACAATAGTAAATTATCAGAACAATAAAGTAGGCGAATTAAATTTAAGTAACATAAAATGGTTGCTATGAATTGAATGACGAAATTCTCAATTTATATATACTATTTTCATTGGAGATTTTCACTCTTAAAATCATATAATAAAAATAATTTCAAACTCTGTAATAAAAATACTAAAAGTATTTATGCTATTAATTAGTATTCATTACATGAGATATTAGTAATATTGCATGAATTATTAAAACAATACTGAACAATTCAGTATTTTAAGCTACTAAAAATATGTATAATTTGTATTAAAAGCAAAAACTATAATACACAAGTAGAAATAATTGTTAATACTATTTAGATAAAAGAAACTATTACTGGTAAGACATATATGAATTAGAAATAATCACATAGCTTAAAAAGGTAGTACAATAAAATAAGGAAAGATAATAATTATCATATTTTGAAGCAACAGATTTTATATTTAAAAATGTATGCAATCTGAAATATATACAATAATTTGATTATATGATAACATATTTATCAAGAAACAAAGAATGCAACAAAAAGTATAGGATATAAAAGGAAATAAATAAATAAGTATATGATAGATGGAGTTAACTTTAGGAATTAAACATTAATTATATTTGTAATATTCAAAAAAGTATTATTTTAACTAATGTACGTTTAGAAATTATTACAATCATGTATCTCAGTATGAAATCATTCCATCGATATTGGGATCCGTGATATTAACATTAAGATAAAATTAAGATATAATTAATGCGATAGATTACGCACCTTTATTATGATCGAAGTGTAATAACTTCGTGCCTCTGTGTTCGCAAAGGAAACCATCTGAACTTTCAGAACTACTAGCACATCTTCTTCGAGAATAGAACCGTGATCTCTCTTGAGGAGAGGATGGTATCGATTGAGATGGATTATTTGATCGATCATTGTACAAACGAATGGATTCTTTTCGGTTACGAAGCTCAGCTTTTAAAGCTTCTTGTCTTTTTTGAATTTCATCCTGTAATACCTGCAATTTTTTATTGTCGATGAAACATTCAAATTTAAATACATATATATTTAAACTATTCAACACCAATTTGATTGCAAGTGTTATATGTTTATACAAAAGTATTAACTACATTATATAAAATATTAACAGTTTTTTTCTAATATTTATTCACCTGCAAAGATTCTGATTCGAACAAAGGAATATTTGAGAAAATGTAATGGTTGAATCTCATTGTTATAAATAAACTACAATATCTCAAGGATGTTTAACCTGTTACTTTTATCGAAGTAAATGTTGTTAAATGCAATATTGTCGAATGAATTAAATTTTTATCGTGAATTAATTTTAAAGACGTTGGGCGATTAATTTCCATAACAAGTGGCTATGAGATTAGCATCAAACTATATTCTTCATTATTTTTCAATTATTTTACGAATGAATTTTTTTTCAAACTTTGAAGGGGAGGAAAACAATTCTACATGAGAAAATAAATCGAAAATATACCATAAAATTTTTCATATTAATCAACTTTGCTGTGTTGTCTAGAAAAATGATTTTAGACACACTGTTAGTACATATACACAAGTGAATTTCTATTTGGCGAATTTCGTTATATACTATTTATATTATTACTGGTATTCGTATACATTCCTTTAGAATGCCTATTTTGTTAGTATACATTATTATTAGCTTAGAAATTAACGGTGCGCTAGTAACAAATATTATTTAAAATTCTATGTATATATCTATATTTGCTATTTAATAGTAAAAATTCTTACTTTCTCCAATCAATCAAGTTGTATATAATATTAGTAATATACCCAATTTTATTAAATAACAGATTGTATTATGAGCTGTTACAAAAATAATTGTTTAAACGCTTAAAGTAACAATTGAGATATTTTTTTAAATGAACAATATTCTGTACTATATTTCTTCATCTACCCATAAATCAAACAATAAGCGTTTTATTGCTTTATATATACTTCATGAAAATACAAGTAAAAATACAAATAGTATACAGTAATAACCGGTTTAACATAAAAGTCTCCACATACGGTACAATCAATCATCGATGATTTTTCTGTTCTATTGATGATTCTATCTGAAGAAATTTCTGTACAATACCATGTACGATTTATCATCGACGATATCGAATCGTTCATTTATGGGGATACCTTATAATTATTTTAAACAATATATAATGCTATATAAAGTACGATATCGCCATTATTCTTCAGATCAGTTTATGCAGATATCATAATTGTCATTTGCAAATAATTTTATTGAAATCAGACTACATATTAATTTCTGAAACGAAATTTCAATTGATTTATTTAATTTATTCGCATATTACGAGTGCCTTTTGAGAAGATATTCTTTCGTATATATTTTATTCTGCATTTATTTTTCATTTTTATATAATTTCCAATTTTTCGTTGTACGAGTTTATGTAATATAATATAGTCAGGCGAATGATCAAACCGAATATGGAGGCCTTAATTTCTTTACTGTGGTTTGATGGGACACATCATTAATGATATACATCATTTTGCATATTTGTGTAGCTTCACTGAAATAGCCCTTTGATGTAAGATAAGCGCTAAATATGAATCACAAAATATGAATGACAAAGATTACATTGTTAAAAATTTTCATTATATACATATATTTCATACTCATCGAAATATTATCAGTGGACAAATAATGATTCCCTGATGAAAAATGATTTTACATATGACCTCGATCAAATTAATTTTCGTTTCAAGTATGACCTCGGATTCTGTCTTCGAATACATAAGCCTAGAAGCCAGTTAAGAATATACATATACACACATGTAATAAAATTAAGTGTTACAAAAAAAATACTACTTACTGTTCTTTTACGTTATCACTTGCATCCTTGTCGTAGGAAACATTTCATCACCTAGGACAGTTTCTTAAGCTTTTTTAAGTACACTTGCTCGTAATAGATCTTTAGTGTACTAACTTGCAATCGTACACACGGTGATTCACTTTCGGCCCACAGGAGCAGATTGGTGAACGTTCGTTCGGATTCTTCCTCGTCTAACAACGGTTTTGATACCAGCATAGCGTCATCCTTGATCGTTTCATTTTTAATATGCTGTACTTCGTTCTCAATTTGTTCACAGATAGACAACCATTCCTGAATTTCATCATCGGATACAGTCTGCTGTATAATGGCCCCAACTGTTTCTGCGATTCTAGTAACATTAGATATGCCTGAAATACAATCCTCTTCTGGCTCTTGTTTTATATCTTCTTTCTCCACAGTGTTGTGTCCTAAAAATCGTTTGCACGAAAGGTGAATATCAAAGGGTAATATATCATCCCAAGCTTCTTTCAACAGATCAATGCAGTCCTTTACGTCATAATCCATATAAAATTCTATCACCCCACGGGGATAATTCAAGACCTTCTCTAGCATGCGACGACGAAAAGACCTTTTTAGTTTCGTTATTACTCCCTGGTCTCTCGATTCGAAAGAAACAGAGGTATTTCTAGGGAGATATACGATATCGAAATCGTCATCGTGATTCAATTTATTCGACGTTAGAATACGAGTGTTGCAGTTATTCATTAATAACAACGTCCGGCCGCAAGTTCCATTTTCCATTTGGTATGTTCTCACAGTCGGTTTGAAATGATTCTCTAGCCAATCGGCAAATACATTGTGATCCATCAAGGCCTGCCTTTGAGCCTTGTACACAACTGGCAATTCGTTCTGTTTCACGTGTTTCAGCGCTTTTGGTTTCTCATATCTGTGAACAAAAAGAGGAGGTAACTTATGGGTTCCACTGACATTCGCGCAGAGTCCCACGGTAACTCGGTCTTCCTTCGTTTTACTTTCGTATATTCTTTTCTCTATACTACGAATTAACGTTCGATCTGGAAGAGCCTTCCATAACAAGTTTGTCTCATCCATTTTGTAAATATGATTCAAGTCTATGTCCTCGTCCTTAAGGCGTTGCAGAAAGTCCTCCACGAGCTCTTCGTCTGACTCTATGTTATTATTCGAAGGTACATCGCACGACTTAACTGGCTGGATACTGTGTCGCTTTTTGAATCTCCATATCCATCCGTTGCTAGCCGAGAATGTCGATGGACCGCCAAATTTAGCGTTCAATTCATTTGCCTTTTTCTTCAGGATGATGTCAGTGATGCGACTATCAGTGCCTTTCACGCTCTGCTCTAAGAACCACGTGTACAAACGATTATCCAACTCATCCAACTTAGGCTTCCGTATTCTTTTACGATTCTCGAATCCAAGAGACATTGCTCCTTGCTGTAGCTGATCTCCTTTTGCCCTGATCCGACGAATGGTTTGGAGATGCACACCGTAATCATTAGCTAATTGCATTATAGGAACGCCGTTCTCCAGCTGTTGTAAGATGTCGAGCCGTTGTTGCACGGTTAAAAGAATGTTTGTCCTTTTCTGATTGGTCGACATCGTGCAAGTAACTAATACGTACACTTTTATATTTTCTATAACGTTTCTTTTTGAATGCCGACGAGAGATCGTTGCACTGAGAATTGCTAGTTAAAAAACACAAATCACAAAACCGCACGATATAATTTCTCTGGCTAATAAATGCTTGTTTATAGTTCCTCTCTTGATGCTCTGTGTACAGTACTACCCGGCTAACTGATCGCTTCTTCCCCGGTATAGTCTCGCAAAGTCAGCCCCCACTACTTTTTTTTTGCTGACTCAGCAAGTGCAGCTGTGAACGATACTCTGGCTTTGCACCATGAGTTGATGACAAATGGAAGCGATAATTTTAAACGTATGATGAATTAATCGGCCAATGAAAATTTAAATATTTATACTTTACGTTAAATCTTACGGAAATTACTAAAGATCGTTGAAATTTTCTCGATGAAACTATATTTGAAGTACTTTTACTTATATACATTTAAAGAGAATGGATAATAATGAAGGCAATTGAGAAAGAATGAAATGGAAACAATTCTATTTACTATAGATGTATGACTTCATTCGAAAGATTCGATTCAATATTTTAAAGGTACACAAAATTAAAAATATTCAAAATTATATGTAAATTATATTTATTGGAAGAGTTTCAGTAATTTATTGATATAATCATTTTAGAAAGATTAAAAAGAAATGTGAAGATTAAAATATCTGTTAACGAATGACTTATCGAGTGCGTGATGTTATCGCTTGAATTTGTTACCGACTGATTACGCGAAGTTCGAATTTCGCTCACTGCTTTTCTGTTTCGTTCGCTCTCGATGTCACGTGATTGCTCTTTAAGTTGCACAAAATGTTATGAAAATATCTATAGAAATGCATTTTTGCGAGGATTACAGCACTATTGTTGAATCGACAAGTTGAAACTATTTTATAACATGCTACTATATACTCTTAAAAATAACGTGAAAAATATCGTTCTCGAGTAATCGCATTAATGACAAAGTACTAACCAAAGTGAAAGTTTACACGCCTATTAATACATTTGATGAGAGTTTTTAACCCGTCTTTTGTTTTATGCCTCTTCATTCCCTAATAACATCTATATTATTTTAAGATTTTTCAACTATTATATTCGGTAAGTGTATATTCATACGAAAAACATTAATCATAATTAAAATGTTATATAATTATGTTCATTGAATATTTGTAAAGTAAATGTAAAATATATATTTTCTGAATTTTTTAAAGGAAAAAATAAACAGAAAGAAGATATTTATATTATTTACGTAAATATTAGCAGAATATTAGTAGCCACAAAACAGAAGAAATAAATGATAAGTATCTAGAAGTATAAGTAATAGTTAATTATATTTATAAAGCAAACCTTATAGAATGAGTATGAGTATAAGTCTAAAATTATAGTATAAAGAGTTTAATGATATTTATCGTTATTGTGACAGTGTTAATTGCAAACATAGAGAAATTGGTATAGAATAACAAAAAATAATTGTTGATTTGTATAATCAATGCAAACGTTTATCATAAAAATCACATGTTGCAG